TAAGGAGTAGTAATAAAGTGCTGGTATTTACAGGCTTCCTGTGCCAAGTACTTTCTACACAATTAAATTTCACCTGGATGGATAATGATGGTATTTGCACTATTGTTATAAAAAGACAAGAAGTAGAAAGTAAAAGAACATGAAATTACTGAACCTCTGCATCTTGTGGGTACCTCACCTGAGAACTGCAAAGAGCACCTGGGGCTGGTGGTGACATTATATCCCAGAATATAAAATATTATAGGGATATAATAAATTAAATTAAATACTTCAAACCACTTTTTTATATACATCATCAATCAATTAATGTGTTTTAAGTCAGAATTTTGACTTTTAATGGAGTTTGCTTCTGCTTTTCCTCACTGGTCACTGCCACTTGCTGGTCCTTTCCTGGAGTCATTGCAAACTGAGATGCTGTGGGCAGGTATGGAAATCCCAGGGGTTTTTTGGTGATTCATTTTAAGATTAAAGCCAGTCAGGAATTGATCTCAGTGCTTCAAGGCTTTACATCCTTAATTTTCCTGGATTTGAACCCCAGTCTCCTGTTGGCACTGCAGTGGAAGGGTGAAATTTTACCAGCAGGAAGAAATATATTTATCTATTAAATATAACTTGTTGCCAGTGTTGTACTTGGGCAATTTAAAGCGTAAATGATTTGATTCTGGACAAACTTCCCCAGGAAGCAGGAAAGCAACAGTTCCTTGGGGACTGGCAGTTAATAAAACCTGAGTGATGCTGTGTGGGGGTCCAGAGATAGGTGTGGACACTTTGCAGATGAGTGAAAAGCTGATCTTTGCTCTCTCTCAGTCTAAGGAGAAACAGAGGGAAAGAAGAGGTACAAAAAAGATCAAAATCCTGGGGACAACACAGGTTGCAGAAGTGATTTGGGTGGGGGTTTGGGTTTGGTTCCCCCTCCCCTGCTCTGCACCAGAACACTTCTGTATTAAAAGCTTCTCAATTATAGTTTGATTCCACTGGAGAACAGGCACAAGGCTGCTGGAACTGTTGCTGCAGAAATCATTTAACTGATGGAGTTCCAAGTCGTGTGTATCCCTAAAAATTCTGTGGATACCATGAGCAGTGCCTGCTCTTACAGACATGGGGAGTTACAGCAGGCACAACCCCAAACACTGACCTCTGTAACTGGGCACCTCTGGTGGGTGAGCCCTGTCTGGGCATGGCTGTGCCCATTTTTACCCAGACTGACCCCACAGTGACACATTTTGGGTCCATCACTGTCACCACGTGCCAACTTCTGTTGGGGATTGTAAGTCCATGGTCATGGAAGGCCCAAATCCAGCACTGCTTTAAAAAATGACAGCCAGAAGTGTTTCTTGCAGGTATTTTTGTTTTCTGTGCATAAAAAAAGGTGCTTTTCATGGCAATATTTATTGACAGTGTTGACCTAAAAGGGGACAGACACCTTTGAGAATGAGAACCAGAAGGTGAAGCCCCACTGAGCCAGAGCTGCCCCAGCCCTGAGGGTGAGGCTGTAGCTTTGTTCACAAATGCTTGGTTTGATGGTTATATTGGTTAAATGCTGTGGATAAATGATGTACAGTAACCATTGAATCTCATTCACTTCCCTTGGAGTGTTGTATTAGAGGGTAGGTTGTTGCTTCTGCTGGTTATCATTTGACCTGAACATTCCTCGTCAGTGCAGGACGAGACTCAAAGCAGTGACTCGATCTTTGAAGGCTCCTTTTAGCACTGCTTTTCAGGAGTATGTGTTGTGGGTTTTTTTTTTTTAAAACTTGGACTTCATCTGTGGATTTTAATGCCTGCAGAAATACCTGGGGATCTAAGCATTCCCTTTAAAAAAACCCAGAATATTTCTCCCTGACTGTAGTGTCTGTTCTGATGTGTTGGTTTATGAAGACTGAGGCTTTAGGGACCTCACTAGCTGAAGATAAAATACTACTACACAACCCCTCAGTTTTGGAGGCATTTAGTGATCCTTTTACATGTTGACATTACTTCTCATAATTTCAAAATAGCTGTTTGGTCACCATCAAGTAGAGGTTGCAAGAATTACTCTGCATTTCTGAGTTGTATTTAAATTACTTATTACTTTGCCAAGTGCTTCCATCCCAACATGTTGATGACTTGCTAGATGAGTTGCTGTTTATTCCAAAAATACTGGACTGAGTATTATTAAAACTTATGCTCTTAGACCTCTCTCTGTACCTTTTGTCCCCCAGTTCCTTCACACACACACTTTAAATGTTAAGCTGAATTAGCAGGGAAGTTATCTTTAAATTTCAGTGCATATTTGAAGCCAGATTGAACAATACCCATCCCAGCTGTCCACTAGCCTGTCTTTTTATGCTCAGTCTAACTGGATTTAACAAAGAGTTTATTTTTATGTCTGGTTGCTTGCCTTCACATCTTCTAGATTTTGCTTGTGGCAAAGAACCTCTTCATTGACAGCACCAGCAATCCCTTTTTCTGGCTCTTGCAGTGAACTTACACAGTGTGTTTTTATCTCCTCGGTGTAAGAAACGTTGCAAACTCATAATTAATTATCAGTGCTGTTGACAGTTCTAAATAAAACCATCAGTTGATCCAAATGAGCTGAATGATGAGGATAAAGGGAGCAGAAGGGCAGGAGCAGGTTGGTTGGTGTCTCTGTGCCTCTGAGCTTCTCTGGTTCTGTTGGGACACAGCAGGTATTTATCAGTGCAGATATTCCTTCTTTATCCCCCCTCTCCTTGCCCTGCAAAATAAGATGGCACAAGGAAAGAGCCTTCTCTTCTGTTTGCTTCTGAAATAGTGATTTATGGGTTTTTTAATACAAATACCACAGCTGTTCACCAGGTAGGGGAAGCTGAGCAGGATTTACTTCCCAGCTGCAAACACAAGGGGCAGTGCTTGGAGAAAGGATGTTTTCCATGGGGACAGTGTTTTTGTTAATGTTTTAGCTGGCACTGTTGCATTTTCAGTACCTGATTTAATGTGTGTCTGACTGAAGGAACCAAAATGGAACTGAGCATGACCAACTTCCAATTTCCATCTTGTTTGTTAGATTAGAGGTGTCCAAAACTGTTGTTTCACAAAGCTGCTGCAACAGAATATGTGGAAATTTTGCCTTTTTTTTTTTTTTCCATTTATGCCTTTGGAGGGGGAAAAAAACCCCTGTAATATTTGGTACTTACTAAATAAGATGTTTGGTTTGGCGTAACTGCTCACTGGGATAAAAATCAGAGTTTTCCCACGTGAGGTGGGTCAGGAAGCAATATACCTGTTGGAATAGGAATGGAAATCCCTGGATGATGAGCCATAACAAGCCTTGCCAATCATTGTGTTCCTAAACTGGTGTTTTACCATGCTCAGGCTGGGAGTGAGTGAGCAGTGCTCTGCCCCACAGTGCTCTTGTACTTTGTCCCACTCACACGTGCTCTGAGGCTTGGATGGGATTCAGCCTGGAGAAATCCAACCACTGCTCCTGCCTGCCTTTTATTTGCCTATTTGATTTTTTTTGTTGTTGTTTGAGTTTTTGGGGTTTTTTTTCTTTTGAGAGATTGGTTTCATTTTTTTGCTGTATAATTGTTTTAAGAGTCTCGGTGTGGGGCTGAAATGGAATTTTGCTCTTTCCCCTTTGGAAGGCTGGTGCTGTAAGCCAGGAGTTAGAGGTACCTGTACAGGAGGGCAGCTCCAGATTGATTGGAAAGGGATCAGCAGCCAGAACAGTGATGATTTTGGGTGTCTTTCAGCCAAACAGTTTTATCAGCAGTGCCTGATGTTAATGCCAAGGTGCAGCTCACCCTGGGGCTGGATGTGAAGTTGCCCACTCGTGCCCTGCAGAGCAGGAGAGGGGAAGGGTGGATCCATGTGTGGATGGAGCTGCTCTTGCCTTCCCTTTGCAGTGCTCCTCAGGCCTGAGGTGCTGGGCAGGGCACTTCATCAGTGTTTTCCTGGCTTTTCGAGCTGTACAAGTGAGCTCACGGGATGATTCCTGGAAAATCAAATTTCTCCTTGGCTTGGGGCCAAAAGGCTTGTAAAAAGTGACTGTGGAGGGAGGGGTGTGGAAACCTCTGGGGCCTTTTCCAGCTGTGCCTCCTCCTCCCATTCCATGTGAGTGGTTACAGGAAGGGTTTGGAGCCTGAGTTTGGCTGAGACATTATCAGTTACCTCAAATATAATTCATTTATGTGTCTGTCTTGGTTCCCTCTAGTAGCTGCATTACAGGGCAGTTATGTCTTGTCAATAAAGCACTTGGGCCTTGATTGACAAGGTGCTGATAAAATAGCCACCAATTCCATACACTTCATTTAATTTTTGAGCTTTTCAGTAAGTTAGAGCAGCACATCTAATTTTCTTGACCAGTGAGGCTTCAGTGTCAGTAACAGCTGCTTGTGTAAATAACTAATTTTGTGTAGGACTGGCCATTGCATTTGCACTGTTCCTGACCCCTCAGTGCCTCTCTCACTTTGGCCAAAGAGCAGAGGAGGTGCTGATGAAGTCAAGAAATACAAAAAAACCCACAAATTGGGTGAAATGTGTGTCTGGGTTCCTTGTTGTGGCCAGTGATAGAGCTGAGCAGTGTCACAGCTCTGGCATCTTCCTCGTGGAACTCCTGGAAAAAACTCCCAGAAGCCCCAGTGAAACCTTTAAAAATGCTTTAGAAACGGGGATCACGTGGGAAAACAAACATTCCAGGAGAATTTCTGTGGGGTGTACTGAGCTGTGAGAAGCAGAAGTACAAACCAGAGCAGTTGAGAAATGTTTGTTAATGGTAATATTTGTGTACTTACCAAAAAGCTTTTTTTCAGACTCTGAGATTATAATCCAGACTATTATAATATCACTTCAGGAGAATGCTGGAATATACTGTGTGTTCACTTCTGACTTCAGAGGCTGATTATGAGAGTTTCCTTGGGATATTTTTGGGCTACAAATCCAGCACTGGAAGTGAGGATATGGCACTTCCTTGTTTCTTAGAGAAAGCTTTTGTATCTCTGTAATTACAAATTCCTAATTGATTTTTTTCCCCCCTGCTTTTTACCAGGAACAGGAAGGTGGTCGATTACTCCCAGTTTCAGGAATCAGATGATGCTGGTAAATGACTTTTTTTTTTTTTTCTTAACAGTATCATATTCTGGGGTAGAGCAGTTCATTATTGCCTTATGTATTAATTGTCTGTCTTTAACTCAAATTCTGAGGAGATCCTGCTCTTCACAGCCCAAACTGTTAATAAGTATTTGAAAATGTAATGATTTTCATATGTTTTGTATTAAACAAACAATGGTGATAGAAATCTTATTATTTAATGCTTGTATTGTTGTAGTGCCTTGAGGCTCTTGGCATAACTTCCTTCCTTGGTCTATATTATGTCCTGAATCTCCCTAATGCCCCTTTTTTTCTGCAGGAAAATATGTTTTCCATTTATTTTAGTGGACTCTAGTTGAGCCCATAATATCAGGCATTTTGAGGAATAGCATCTTAAAAAAAATATCATCTTTATGTTCTGTGTGAACTGAAGAAAATTTTCTGGGAGCCATATGGAATATGTTTTGAGTTCTTAGGAGACAGTACTGCTGTTTGTTTATCAGATTACACTGATAATTAATATGAAACAAATATGCCTGGTTCTTAATTGCAGCTCTGTTAATAAGGTATTGTGTAAGAGTTGTAAAAAGTTGTGCTGTAAACTCCTATATAATGCCATACTTTCCCCCACCATAGGACAGTAAATAGTGTTTGCTGTTAAAAGCATGGTGAAATATGTATGGGAGTTAATTTTTAATAGGTTTATATAATAACTGACTAGGTGTAAAACGAGATAATGTTTCCTCTTGTGAGGTTTTTATGTTTCTTAACACAGCATTTTTATTGTGCTTGTTGGCACCACAAAAGATAAATCACAAGTTTAAGGCAGGACTTTGCTTCTATAAAAATCTCCTTTGAAGCTTTGTGATCTTGTTTTGTTTGTTTGTTTTTATTTTTTTTTGTTTTTATTTTTTTTTTTCCGAAGGGCCCTCTTTTTGTTGTGCATGAAATGATCAGTTTAAGTTAGAGCTGAGGAAGGCAGTTTGCTGGCAAGTAGGAGTTTGATTCAAACCCCTTTTGTACTGTCCCGTCCAGATGAAGATTATGGAAGAGATTCAGGTCCCCCCTCCAAGAAAATCCGCTCGTCTCCCCGAGAGGCCAAAAATAAGAGGAGATCTGGGAAGAATTCTCAGGAGGACAGGTAAAAGAACCACTTCATGTCTTGGGAACGTGTTTCCCAAACCTTGTCCTGCCTGTGGGGAGCAGGATCCTGCACGAGGAGTGATTGAAGGTGGAATTCAAGTCCACGGGGTGAGACTGGGAGCTCTCGGGCTCAGAACTTGCATAACCAGCTTAGACAGTGAGCTGGTTCTTCCTTATCTGAGTAGACAGAGAAATCATGTGTGAAGCACTTGTCCCTGGTGCTTCATCACTAAAATAGCTTTCCAGAGCCAGGCAGTTGGAATGGGGAGGAATATGATCCGAGTTACAAAGGTTGGCAGCTGGGATGATTCTGCAGGTAAGTTGGTGGGGAGATGCAGTTCATTTTCCACGTTGGCATCCCTGGCCTTACAGGTGAAGTGGGATGGGGCAGGGGCCGTTTGTTAGTTTTGTGGTTCTTTTTTTCCTCATTTTGTTTAATTCATAAACCTGTCCTGATAAGCAAGTTGCTCCAGCAGTGTGGAAGGACTCAGTGCTCAGAGATACCTTCACTCTGCAGCAAACTTTCCCTCAGCTGGGTATCTTCCATTTCACACCAACTGTGGCCTCCAAATATTTGCCATAATTGCCACCTATTAAATCATTTATCTGTTTTCATGGCAGACATCAGCTTCAGGGGTGGAGGTTCTGCCAGCTGCTTCTTGTCCTTTTACCCCAAGGTGTCTTTTACTCTCCATCAGAGATCAGATCATTTGGACCAAACCTGTGCCAGTTCAGAGCTGTACAGCAACGTGCACAGAGTGGGATCTAAACAATGGCTATAAATCTATTCAGAATCAACCTTTATTCCCTTTATAGACTCAGCATATAAACCATCAAAATTCTAAATAAAATGGAAGCCATCTTGGTAGCTTTCAGAGTGAAGCTTTTTCACCTCACCCTGATTATTGCCTGGTTGGTTCACTTGGCACCATATAAGTTTATTATGTGATTGGGTTTGAACATTACCTTTCTAACTGTGATAACTGCACATGCACCAGAGGAATCCTGAAGTATAAGGTGGTAATGTCCAGGAAAAGTGCGTGTTCCCAGCCTAGACATCAGTTTGCTCTTCAAAAATCGTTATTTTCCACACAACAGTGACTGAAATCAAAGTTAGAACAGCAGGCAAACTTTGTGTGTCTCTCATTTTCAGTGAGGATTCAGAAGACAAAGATGTGAAGACTAAGAAAGATGATTCACACTCAGCAGGTAACTACATTTTACTGATACACCTTCAAAACAAGCAGTGTCTCTTCAAAACCAGTTAGTAAGAGTTGCAGGAGTAGGATTTGACAGAGTTCTGACTAGAAGAGCAGCACTTCTCCAATCCACTCACCTTAACTTGGATTCTGCCTCTCCTGCTGTTACTTCCCACCCTGGTTTGGGATAATGTGGGTTGGGTTTTTTTTTTTTGGTGTAATGTGGTGGTACTATAAAGTTTGTCTTCACAGGTGGATGGACTTGTTAATCTCTTCCCTGTAGTTTTCATCCATATCTCAGGATGATTCAAGAAACTTCATCTTGGTCCCTTTTCCTTCCAGATGAGGATTTTGGCAGTGAAGATGATGATATAGGAGCAGACGATGGCAAAGCTGACAGTGACTACGAGAGCTCTCAAAAAAGCAAAAAAGGAAAAAAGGCTAAACCAGACAAGAACAAGAGAGCAGCCTCCAAATCCAGGAAAAGGCCTGCAGGTAAAAAAAAAAAGGTTACTGGTGTAGTTGGGTGACTGCAGGAAGGTGTCAAATGTTATCAGTGAATGTCTTGATTTACTCTCTTGTGAATGACTTGCTGCCTCAGGACAGGGGCTCTGTGTTGTGTATCCATCCTAACCTGGTGGCTTTTGCTGCAGAGGACAGCGAGGATGAGAAGGAGGATCACAAAAACGTCCGTCAGCAGCGACAGGCGGCGTCCAAAGCGGCTTCCAAACAGCGGGAGATGCTCATGGATGACGTGGGGAGTGAGGAGGAAGAGCAGGAGGATGATGAGGCCCAGTTCCAGGAGAGTGAGTAAATGGGATTGAACTGGGTTTGGTAGCAGATGGGAGTTTATGGGTCTGGCCACAGAGCAAAAGGAATAATTTGCTTTTTGACCGTGACACCGAAGGCATCAATCGTCCTTCTTAGTGTTTTACTTTTTGCTGTCCAACAGACCAAGCTTTTAGGGTTTTCACATCTAGAATTTGTGCTCAGAGTTTGCAGATGCCTGTGTTTGTAAGCAGCCCTAAAGGGTTATTGTAAAGCTCTCACTGCTTCTTGCTGTCCCTCTGGTTTTAAGGCATTGATGCTCCTCTCAGGTGATGTAAAAACCAAGTCAAATGTTTTACCCCAGCAGACAATGGAAGCTCAGAGGGTCTCATCAGTCTGTGTCCTGTCTCACTGGCAGATCTGTCATCTTCTGCTCCCTTTCCTCTTTGCCCCAAAAAAACTTAAATTTCTTTATGCTTCCAGCAGATTCAGGAAGTGATGAAGACTTCCTCATGGAAGATGATGATGACAGTGATTATGGCAGTTCAAAAAAGAAGAATAAGAAGGTCTCCAAGAAATCCAAGCCAGAGAGGAAAGAAAAGAAAATGCCCAAGCCCAGGCTAAAGGCTACAGGTGAGTCAGTAGAGATCCACATAAATGTTGAAGGGCTAAAATGCCATGATTTAAAGCATAAATATGAAATAATAAGGTGACTTTAATTCTTACTTTAGGGATTGAATTTATCTTGTTGGTAAAAACTACATAGTATTCAAACCCTTCCCTGTTGAGGTGCTGCATTCTGACTTTTTCTGTCTTGTAGCCAAATAATACAATTTGTGGCTTTGTTTGGGACTCTGTGGTGTTTTCAGGCTGGAGGAAGGTGGGGAAATCTGAACCAAAGGAGAAGTGGCTGCATTTCTGCAGGAAGTTTGAAGTTTAATAGTGATGTATGTTCTGGTTTGACAAGGGCTGTGTTCATTCATGGTGTCACATCCAGTAATTAGTCAGGACCTGCAATGAAATAGCTTTAAAACCTCATTAGCTAATTTTCAGCTAATAGGGGGTGCAAAAAACAATCTGTGGGGTCAAAGCAAAATAAAAGCTGCTGCTGAAGGGACTTGTAAATCCTGTTTGTGTAACACCATGTGACTGTTTTGGGGGTTTTTTGCCTTTGCTGCTGCTAAGTTTTACAAGCTTTCTCTTGTTTCAGTGACCCCCAGTCCAGTGAAAGGCAAAGGGAAGGGAGGTCGTCCCACAGCCTCCAAGGCAACGAAAGAAAAGACCCCATCCCCCAAAGAAGAGGATGAAGAGCCTGAAAGCCCCCCAGAAAAGAAAAAATCAGCCAGCCCTCCACCAGAGAAGTCAGGGGATGAGGGATCTGAAGACGAAGCACCCTCTGGTGAAGATTAAAAAATGGCAGTTGAGGAAACCTTTGGTTAAAAAAAAAAAGAGAAAAAAAAAAAAGAAAAAGGAAAAGAAAAACATACTTAGGGGTAGAACACGGTTTTGGCTGTGGCTTGACTCATGGGCTTTGAATGCTGTCTTTACTTTCAGCTGTTTAATACAGTGTATCCTTTTTTAATAAGAGGAAACCCTTATACAGTAATATTTTGAAGTCAATGTTCTCTGTTGGCCATTCCGTTCTCCCTCCCCCACCAAATCTGAAAGCCATTTGAGACAAATTAACAGACCATTAAATATATTTTTTTTTCAAGGGATATTGCAGTTGTGAAGCAATAAGGTTTGAGGACTGATATGTGGAAACCATACTTAAAAAATCCTTAAGTAGAACAGATTTTTTTCCCAGTGCTGGTAAGAGTTGTTTAAAACTATTATTCTGTATTTGAATATATGGAGAAAAAAAAAAAAAAAAAAGAACCTATGCTTTAACAGACTTTTGTTGAGACAAGTTCACTCTCAGAAAAAATGTAGTTGATATAATTCCAGTGGAGGAAAAGGAGGCACAGGGAAGAAACCTGTGTTTCTTGGATTCAGGCACGTTTTTCATGGAAAGCAATCAAGAGACCCAGAGATGGTCCAGTGTCTTTGATTTAGAAAAGACCCTCCAATTAGGATGGGAGATTTTTTTTTTTTTTTGTCTTTGCTGGATAAAAAAAACCTCTTCTGCTGTAGGCAAATTGCAGCCCATTCTCTACAAACCCAGATGTACAACTTACAAGCTTCCCACATCCATTAACTCCACTTGATTTCTTCAGGGTTGGCTGTAGATGGGCAGAACAAGGAAGAGAAATTGCAAACAGCTTTTAAAACCGGTTTCCATTTGGTTATTGTGGAAAATATACATCTTTAGAGTTTTTTTCCAAGGAGAAAAAAAACCAAATAAATTAACGGATAGTGTAAAAAACTTAAAATTCTTTAGGTTTTGGGGCGAGGGATGTCTGTGTGTAAATGTGAAGCAAAGGATTCTGCAGTGCTCTGGTCAGTCTCGGATCCCATGAGTCAGGCTTTAGTGTTTCTCTTCTCTCCCTCCATCTGTCCTCAGAAAAGCTCCAGGGATCCCTCAGCCCTTTCCAGCCGCAG